ATATGACTACTGTTGCACTTGTTTGTTCCTCCACTTATACTTTCTTTGTGGCAGTAATGATTTAAAAAAAACAAACAAAAAGGGTCCCTGTAATATTTTCTCTACACCCTTCTCCCTAAATTAGAAAAGACCTACCCAGGAGCTGGCTGAGATACAGTGTGCTTGTATTATTTTTAGTGAGAAAAAGATGGATTATAAAGTTCTCTTTTTTTAATAGGGTCAGGACAGTTGAGGAGGTTTTTCTGTAATGAATTAGAGTTCTTAAGCCGTATGAGGAATCGACCAAACTTGGTCTGTCTTAATATCCAGGAAACAATCTGAAGAACAGGAAGAAGAGAAAGTCTAATTACTCTGGAGGAATTTGTGCAATTCTGATTTGTATGTATTGGTTTGCAAACATTAAAATGTGTAAATATTTTTATATATAAAAATCAAGCTCATTTTTCTTTGCTTCTTTCATTCAAATATAAATCAGTGTTGCCTTATAAAGAGTTTATTTTAAATTTGATTAAAACATATTTATTGCTATGATTTTACTCTTTCTGTACTGAGAAAAGTGCATCTTAATGTAAAACAATGACTATTTATTTGCACATACTAGAATTTAAGAAAGGTGTAACAGATGATCAAGCAAAAGACAGACAATTTCTCATTCATCAATTTCACATCAGCTTACACCAAATAAGCATTTATTCCAATTGCCTTTGCAATGTTCTTTTCCTAATATGCTATTCCTTGCGCTATATTATTAATAAAATCCCCTAGAACAGCCAGGAATCCATCTAGGTTTATTACATTTCAATTCACAGAAGTTAAGACCAAATACAGCCTAATTTGTATGATAGTTACTCAAGGCCATGAGAAGACACATCATTCACGAGAAAGAACTTTCAAGAAGAAAAAAGCTTTCATTCTAGAGAAGGAAGGGAATTAGAAAAATGCTGCCCTAATTACTCAATAAAAAGCATTTCTGACTTTCAGTTTGTTCCTCGTTGGTGTTGGTGCGGAATCCGCGATAATGCGTGGCTTCGCCCAAGCTCTTTTGCTGGTGGGGTGGTGAAGGAGGGGGAAATCGCCTGGGAGGTTGAGGGGAGCTGCAACTCCCCTCCCTGACAGGAAAATCCCTCCCGAAGGCAAGCTGCAGCGAAGACAAAGAACATTCCGGGAAACTAAGTTTTGTGCTGGAGAGAGAAGTAGCGGGAGTTTTGTGCTGGAGAGAGAAGTAGTGAACCAGGCAAAGGACATCGCTTTTGAGGTACCCCGGTATCAAATTTAAAAGCTATTTTGGAGGAAAGTGTGTGGAAGCGGCAACCAAAGAAAATGAGAAAGAAAATGGGTTTTTAAATTTGGATTTGATTATTCTACTGGACTAATCTGGAGGAGAAATTTAACGGAAAATACATTAACACAACAAAGGTTTAAAAATTAAACTGGACAGATATTGAATTGTGGGCACTTAAAGGGCATAACTAAATGTTGGAATTGAGTGTGTTGAAAAGAAAAGCTAATGATTGAAATTAGCGAACTTAATAAAAACATCATATTCAACAAAAAAAGTTAAAAAGGAAAAGACTCAAGAACGCCACCTGATGGTACAGGAAAACTTTAATATGTTTTAAAACAAGCGTCTGGTCTTTTTGAGACTTTGGATCTTGGAACTTGAAAGAAAATAAAAGGAACTTTATTATTGTCATAGAACCACCCAGTAATTTGGGAAACAGTTGGGAGGCCAATTAGAAGATTTGGAATAAAGATTCAAGAGTATGAATTGTTGAAAATAAACTCAAAAGATATTGGCTGAAATATACTACTGGACTCTGGATTGAATATATCTATCAAAGAAGAGGATTTCAACTATTAAGAGGAAAGAAAGAGAAAAAGGAGAAGATATAATGGAGGAGCTACTTGTTGATATAAGACTGGACTTACAAGACATAAGTTTGGATATGCAAGATACAAGGGACATAAAAATTAAACTTGAAATATGTATTACAGAAATTAGAAATGGTGACTCAGCATATACAAGAACACAATAAACCAGAGGGGGAGGAGTTCTATAAAGAAGAAGCCAACTTAGAACAAAAAGACGAACAACAATTATTCAAGCAGAGGGGAAAAGAAATTAGAATTAAAAATTTGTGGTCTGATGGGATGATAAAAGGGAGAATGTTTTGGAAAATGGTTAAAGAGAAGGGAAAAACAGAAAAAGGAAGTGCAAAGGAAAAATCAAAAGAGGGAGACAGAAAAGTTTAATAACTGGAATGAGAAAAGGAGGGGGAAAGGAAATTAAGAGAAAGGACCAGAAAAGAAAGAGGAACAGGAAACAAACAAGGATGAAAAGAAGGTACATTGTTCAAAGAGTGAGAGATAATGGGTGATTAAAAAAAGGGATAAGGAAGGGGATTCCGCAAGGTAATATGTTGGGATGTATAAGAATATATTGAAAATAGTATTTTGTAATGTATAGATGATTCATAGAGAAAATATAATGCAGAATCAGAGAAAAATATATTTGTGTTTTATACTAGATAGGGAGATTGATATTAAGAATGAAGGTGGTTGGCTCGAATTATTAACTAGAGGGGACAACTATATTTACAGGTAAGGATTGATAAAATGACAAATGTGACAAAAATATGAGAATTTTAGATTAATATTGTAAAATAAGATTGAGAATATACTAAGAAAAATGGAATGAGATATATTAGATTTGGAATTGAATGAATGAATATAGAATTGAGGTAAGAATTTTAGATAATATCGTAAAATAAGATATGAGAACATGAATTGGAATTGGATAAGCTTAATATTAATAATGACAAGAATGATGCAATATGAAATTAAATAAAATGAGTAGGTAACTATGGTCATGTTTGTATTGAGAGGTGAAACCTGGAACCACACTGCTTGCCAAATGAGAATTTTTCATTTAAAAAAAATAAAATGAAATCAGAGAAAATTGAATAATGGTATTATTAGGTATGTTTAATTGATATGGTGGTAGGCATCTGGAAAGAGTAAGGTTGAAAATAAATATTGAAGAAGTATGAATTAATATGAATATAATGCAATGAGAGATTTATAATATACTGATGACACACTGTTAATGTATATGTAAATTGAAATAAAAAAAATTAGATGGAGAAAAAAAGCATTTCCAATAATCCTGCAAATTCCAATTCTAAGAAATATAGAATAACATCATCCTAAAGCTTGAGAGTAGATGCTTCTGATTATTTAAATATATATAATCCTGAATCTCAATATAATTTCCAATCAGCTTTAGGATAATAATTGAATATAGTATTGAAGTGCTTAGGTAATACTGTATAAGCAGAGTTTTAAATTTACTCATTTTTATATTACTAAATTCTGTAATGTCTTGTTGACATCGAGCACCAATTAAAAGGCTAGAAACACTCACTCTATGAAGGGCAAGAATAGTATATTATCAACACAATTGTATTCTTTAAGATTTGAACAAATACACACAAAGCCATAAATATAATGCTGTTCTTCCCATCAATTCCTCTTCTTTTGGAACAATTGAGTGTAATATCATGACATGAGCATCATTTTTCTAACACTGACACAGAGATTTTTTTTTATTTTTATCCAAAAATAAATTGCACAGTGAGGGAGACACAGAACAAAGCAGCATAATACACTATATGTAAAGTTATAGTAGTTAATCAAGTTTCCTAGGCATAGAATGCTACAACATAATACAATCAATAAGGATTTCAGCAAGAAACAAAACTGCTTTGTGCTAATTATTCATATATCATGTTCTGCAAACACAGCATAAATGAAATTAACTTTCTAAATATAAAACTCAAAAGAACTGAAAATGCAGTTATTAAATTTAACTGGCATTGCCTAAATGAGGAAAAAACACATTTTTGAAAGGCTCAAAACTGATAATTGAGTGACACACCAGAAACAGAAGGGCCATCACCTCTATAGTTAAAGTGGTTAGGAAGAGGAAATATGTTATCACTTGATTATAGTGTTTAGCAACCTTGTTTCCAGTTTTCATTGCATCATATTTATAATCGTACTTCATATTATAATACATTTACAAATGTTCAAGGAAATAGAATTCCACAGAGGATTCAGACAAATTTTGCAGCAATGTCACAATGGCAGTAGAAGGTTTAATCAAGGAAACTTTTAAAGATTATCTTTCACATTATTTAAATTGTAATTATATATGATCTTCAAGGCCTGCTATTAACATGCTATAAGAAAGCACTGGATATAATGATCTTTACAAGGAGAGAGGTGAGAAAGGATTAGCAGCCTTTTCATAATTAAAGCTTGGGGTTTTAACGTTCTCTTCCTCAGCAAATTTAAAATACTTTGTACAACTATTCCATGGTTTTTCATTTTTTATAAGTTTTATAAGTTTATAGTGTTACATTTGCTCAAATAAGGATACTTACAGTTCTAAATAGCAAACATTGCCAGAAATAAAAGAAGGGTGGATCTTTTCTGGTCCATAATTTCCAAGCATAAAAAGCATAGAAAAATAATTTAACAACTCGCATGTACATTCAAAAGGCATACGTTTCCTCAAATAATAATGGCATAGCATAGACTGCTGTTGGGAATCATTTTTGCCCATCAGTTCTAATCCTGAAGATTTCTCAGCACATTAAGAAGAATGGGGAAGAGCTTTTGCACAAAAATATTGTGATCTACAATTCTGATCAACTCTATTGATTATAGACACAACAGCAGCATTAAAGAATAAGCAAAACTACCTTTGAAGCATCATGCATGACCACTTGTGGTAGAAAACTGATTTAACTGCTTTTCCTCCCTGAAGAAATATATACTTTAACAACCTTAATCCTCTTCCAAAAAGAGAAACAGTTGAAGGATTAAATTTGGTGAGAAGACTTCAAGCCTTACTGGGACTTTCGCAAAGTCTGCTTTACATTTGCACAAAGACACACAAAATATCAAACTAAATTGGAATGTTTTTCCAGTTATAAGTAATCTTCATCACAATGTATATCTTCATCTTCTACTAGTAAAAGACAAGATTGAAATGAGAAACACTGAAGTGGGAATTACTAGTCCTCCAAACTGCGGAATGCATTCTGCATGTCTTCAAACAGCTGGGCATAGTCTGCTTTGATCTTTGCCTCTCCTTCTTTCACTGGATCCTGAAATTCAATAGGGCGAAATTGGATAATCACTCAAAAGGTTTAGAAAGAGCAATTCCTCAGATGTCATGAATATCTTAACATTGCAGAATTCCTACCAATGGTGCAGAGGGACCTGGTCCTTTGATATGCCTGATGAGATCCACCTGTCCCTTGTAGTAAAACAAAACAGCCAGCATAGGTACCCCCGACTGATAAATACCTCCTCATGCAAGTTACTATTTTCTTTCACTTCTGCTATAATAGTAACAAATCAAACAGCAATCTGCAAGTGTACCAAGTTTCATATTCAAAAAGGAATTGTGAAATGCTTCACCCTCCTTCCTGAGTCCAGAGGTGATACGAAAGACCTAGCGACATTTCTTTGTACATAATTTGAACAGGTACCAGAAGATGACAGAAACAGACTTTAAAAAGGAGGTCTGCAGCCAATTAATGCCAACCATGAAGCAGTTTTCTAGCATGATAAGAAAAGAAGGCCATCCACTTTGTTTTTTCATCAGCTCAAGTTATAGTAAAGCAGATGTTCTACAATTCTTGCTAAATCACATTACAAGATTGGAACTACTTAGACCTACCTATCTCTTGCTTCCTATTAATATCAATGTGACTATCCCTAACACAGTCTTGCCATTTAAAAAACTAAACACTTTTTGTCAACCCTGAATATAAATATTAAAGGAACAACAATCTTATATTTGATTTGGAATATGAACAAGGGCAATAAAAGAATAAGAAATTGCTTGATATATACCATAGTTTGTGAACCCCACTGAATTTTAAATAGTTGTCTAAATATGATCAAAAACATAATCAGGTCTCCACACAAGTTTACCAGCTGCACAGTCTTGAAATCAGTCACCTCATTGCTGGAATTGGGTATGTCTAATCTAGTGAAAAGAAGGACTGGGGCAACATGATAGCAGTATTCCAATATTTGAGAGGCTGCCACAAAGAGGGGGTCAACCTATTCTCCAAAGCACTTGAAGGCAAGACAAGAAGCAATGGATAGAAACAACCTAGGAAGGAAGCAATCTAGAACACTAAAGAGAAATTTCCTGACAGAACAACTAATCAACCTGCCTCCAGAAGCTGTGAATACTCCAACACTGGAAGCTTTTAAGAGGAGATTGGACAGCCATTTGTCTGAAATAGTATAGGGTCTGCTGCTTGTGTGGGGATTGGACTAGACCTCCAAGATCCCTTCCAATTGTTATTCTGTTATTAGTAGGCGATGTATCTGCCTTCATGCCCGTGCCAAAGCACTCATTTTGATTGAACTGAACAGAAATCATTGCATAGCCATCGACAGTAACTTTTTGCATTTGTTCAAATACAAAAAGGGGATTAGAAACAAGCCCCCCACTTTCCCAGCACTGCTTTATTTTGTTTGCAATTCAAATATTTACTAAATGTACCCCTCAACTTACAACTGTTTGCTTAATGATGATTTATGGCTCATATTTATGACCAGTTTCCCAAAGTCGCATGATCCCAATCTGAAACATCTTTTGTCAGTTTTCAGCAAAATACACTGTTGGTTAAGCTGGATTCACACAACCACATGATTCAACTTATAACCATGGTAAAAGGATCTTAAAATCGGATCTGGTCACATGATGACTCAACCTACAGAGTCACAACGATTTAACAATGAAAATTATGATCCCAATTGTGGTCGTGCACTGAGGACTTCTTATACATATTGTTTTGTTATAATCCTAATGCAGAGTACATACCTTGAATTTCATAGAGGTAAGTCGGTAGAGGATTTCACTCATGTTCTCTTTGATAATGGACCATGTAATCTTATTATCACTTTGGGCAGTAGTCTCAACTGCTCGGCGTGCCATATCATAAAATGCAATCATGTTAGATAGCATCCCCACGGTCTTATAAAATGGGCAGAACCTAGTGAAAATAGTAGCAAAATTTATCTTAGAATTAAGGAACTTTTTAATGACTAAATTGTACAAACAGGTTAGCAAATATTTATATTTGATAATTAACATTTGTGAAAGAATTGACATGCAAAGCAGTCGACTATAGAATTCAGCTTTCTATAATGGACAATGAATATACGGAAACAAGGTGAAGTAGAGGATGCTTTCTATGGGTTGAATAAGCAACTTTCATAGTTTTTTATCATGGTATCTTTAGTTCAGCAATTACACAAATCTGAATAGCACACCCAGGTTATAGAACAATTTGCTTATTTGTAAGCAATTCTTTAGTTGTAGATGAACTACCCAAACACTTTTAACAGAAGATACTTCTGAAAGATTAGACTAGGAGTTACTTCCCCATAATTATTATTTGCATTCATGCTTCAAGTGCTGACTATCATCAGAATATGAATCTAGTATAATATCCCAAATGAGCACAAAGGAACTCGATGACAAAAAAAGAGAAAGAAATGGCACAATGTTTCAACATATGAAAGAAGTGAAAGAGATTGTAGCCTACAACTGAAACACTTTAACAAAAGGCCAATTCTCAGAAAATATGAAATACGAATGTTGCACTGTTTGGTGTAAATATTGAGGGTGAATAAAGCTGATATCTTTGCCCTTATTTCCACGTGGTTCTTTCCCCTTAGATACTTTAATACAGATGATAAAGCAGCAACTTTGAGAACATACAAGGCATTCACGGCACCAACTGAGGACCTGTCCTATGTTGCCCTCAACACACTTATAGCTAATTGGAAAGCAAAACTGACGAAGAAAGCTGGATCTTCAGCATTTGTGCATCAAAGCACTTTGATATATTTAGAACAGAAAGAGCAGTCCCTTACTCACGTGAAATGTGAGTTGATATGAAACAGTATTGGCAAGCCCCAATAGTGCCAGGTGAGAAGAAAAAATAGCATAGGGTAGTTAAAATAGGGGTCTAATCAGTTTTCTAAACTGCTGGGGAAATAAGCAAAAGACTACTGAGTTGGGAAAAGTTGTATGTCAGAGTATACTTAGCATGCAATACAAGCCTTTATTACCAGAGATCCAGACGTATCCAATAATTACTATCTCGGTATAGAAGCTAAAGGCCCAGATCCAGTTTATCCTAAATTAAATTTCAGAATAATATTCACAGACTGACATTGGAAGTAAATTCTTAACTTGTGACCTGTCAACTAGGAACCCTTCTATACATCCCAATTATATTAACATTACATTAGGCTGAATCCTAGCCCTTCATTCTGGATTTTTAAAAATTCCTTGTGAGAAAGATACCCATTTTTCTGTCTTTGTTCCCTGTGACAAACATTTCAAGCTTTCTAAAATACATTGAGGAACAAAGATCATTTTAGCCCACAGAAACTAGTTGAGAGAGGCTGCAATCTGTTTTAAGCCAATACTTTCACTATGAAGTTTCTTCAAAAGAATGCTAGCGTTGTCTAATCAGTTAATCTAGAAGAAGTTATAAGAGCATTAAGAAAGCTACAGGTAGTTTTTAACTGATAACATTCATTTAGTGACCGTTCAAAGATACAATGGCACTGAAAAAAGTCACAACCATTTTTCACATGATTGTTGCAACATCACCATGATCAAAATTTGGATGCTTGGCAACTCATGTCCTTACAACAGTTGCAGTATTCTGGGGTCATCTGATCACTTTTTACCACCTTCTGACAAGCAAAGTCAATGGGGAAGCCAAATTTACTTAACAACAGTGTTATTAATTTAACAACTTCACTAATAACAGTGGCAAGAAAGGTAATAAAATGGGACAAAACTCACTTAACTATTTTGCTCAGCAACAGAAATTTTAGGCTGAATTGTGGTCATAAGCTGAGGACTACCTGTACTCCAACCATATGAAGGGGCTTTATAAAAAATGAAAGTTTTCAATGAATATTGTTGCAATGAACGGAAATACAAAATGGTACACAAAAATCATTTTGTTCAATTTCGGATTAGGAAGAGCTACATCAATTCTGTGTGCTTGATTCTGCTTTTGAAAAAGAATATTGTGAAGCTCAAATTCCAGGAAAGATTTCATGAGACATGAAGATTTATTACGGAAAATCCACATCTATACATCAGCAATTAAATGGCACTATTGGACTGTTGAGACTGCATTCCTTTTTTTAAAGTCAAGTGTTTAAAATTTATATATAAATATTTTGAATACAGTGTATTGTCCGGGCCATTTTACCAAAGAAAAAAAGAAAACGAAAAGAAATAGTAACATATATACTGATAGCAACAGTAATAGTACAACAAAATGATTCTAACCATATTTATAATTATATGAGCTTACTTGTAATCCTATTGATTATATTAGCATACTTATAGTTCTAAAGAACATTCATGTTTTACGAGAGATTACATTCCTTATACTATGGCATTAGTACTGTGCAGGAGTGGTGCAGATGAACAGTGACTGAAGCTGGGTGAGAAGATTCCTTTTTATTTTGACCCTAACTTTAAAGAAAAAAAGAAAGAGGAAAATCCAGAAAAGAAACTATTAGAACTATTTTTAAAAGCAGCTAACAATCATAGAGAGAAAAATTCTAGACCCAAAAGACGAACTAAGGGAAGAGAAGCTAAAGACTTTTTAAAATATAGAAAATAGGACTCTTAAATTGGGTAGGTGTTGTTTTGGGAAGGCATTATAAAATGCTGGACTATCCCTTTGAATCTATTTGAATAGCTGACTTTGCTTCCATAAATTGAACTAAATTTGGATTAATTAAATCCTTAAGATTTGAAACAACGGTGAAACCGAAGCGGAGGGTGCCTTCCACTGGTTGAATGGAATATACAAGACCCCTACAAGTTTAGAAAACAATTTTTTTTGATGGAAAAATAAACAACATTCATCTGGAGAACTGTGTGACATTGATTGTTCTATAACTAGTTACTTTAAGATCACTGGAGGCTATATTATGGAAGACTTAAGTAAAGCAAAATGATTTGCGGAAGTTTCCTGGACTATTTAAATGGAATTGATTAATAATCCTGAGATGTAAAGAATTATGATTATAGAATTTTCTGAGGACTAACATTGGATTGGAATGTATTGTTTTGGGATTTGAGTAAGAGTGGGACTAATTAAATTAAGACAAGATGCTCCATCAGGGGAAAAAGTGAGATTTCAAGAGAAATGGCATTGATGTTCCAAAGCATTAGGGGTACTATGGAAGAGAATCACAGTACCTAATGCAAGGCATATATGGGAAAATGGAAACTACGTTACAACTGATGATGAATGAAGATCAAAGAGTACAGGAAAGTGAGGAGATAGCAGAAAGAATGGAAGAAAAGAATGAACAGACAAACCAGCAAATAAAGCAGGAAGATGGGAAGGAGAAGACGATAAAGACAATAATGGCTGATGAAATAAACCAATGGAAAAGTACGTTAAGAGATTTAAAAAGGGAATCAGATAATTTGGAAGATATTTTTGAAAAGGAGATAGGGGTTTGGGTGGATACTCTGGAGACCTGGCAGCTTAGGAGGATAGAGATGGGAGAAATATTCAGTCTCGATGGTGAAGATACAGATGTTAATAAAGATACAAGGACTATGGGAGGCAAACCAAAAAATGAATAAGAATTGAAGTATTAAGATGGATAGAAAGAGGTGTGTGTGTGTGTGTGTGTGTGTGTGTGTGTGTGTGTGTGTGTAAAATATAATGATGGACTGACTAGAAATTTGAATAGAAATAGAAATAAGAACACACCTTTATATGAAGCAATAGTTAAATGAAAAGATTGGAGGTTGGAAGAGGGTATTATAAGGTATATTTAAATAATAGGAAGGCTGGTACTTGAATGGTGTATTGTGACTTTGAACAATTAAATAATGAAGAGCTAAGCCTTATATAAACATGTGTATTAATATTAGGATTAGCAAGGGTGACCTGACTAGAAGTTAGAATAGCGCTAAAAATAAGAAATAGGGGGAATATTAGCAGATATAATCTTTATACAATAGAATATAAGTAGTAATTTGATGGAAAAGATTAGACGTTGAAAGTCGTGTATGCTTATAACATCATTGGCATTAAAATGGAATATAATATTGAATAACTACATTAAAAAACCATGTATTAGGATTTTATGTTTGATTAATATAACAACCATTATGAATATCATTATTGATGTTTGTATCAAAACAAATTATAACCAGGGGCCACACTGTTCATGTGGTGATCTTGAGGTTTATTTAAAAATAAAAATCTAATAAAATTTGGGTGTGGGGGAGATATACACCATTAGCAGTTTCGATTATTATATGAAGCTCGGTTAGATGAATCCCATTCTGGAACAATTATAGATATTTGCAGCTACTGTTCTTCTATATATATGAGCTTATCATTAATCGAACCTTTCCCCTTTTTGGATTGGCGATGTTATACGATCATCTGCAAAGTGATAGGTGATGTTTGTCCTTTGTTAACAAGCACACCAGTAGCTTAACATTAATGTTATTAAGAACAATGTAAGAAAAAGATAACTAACATGTGAAAACTGATCTGAAGGAGCACAAGGAGATGCTTCCTTTGTGACTGAAAGCTCTCTGTTAGAAAATGTCATTTACGTAGAATGTCATTTATGATTCCTTCAGCTTAAAACAGAGTGTGGTGCATCAGCTCCTCAAGCAAGAATGTGAACAGGGTTGGGCAGTACTGCTCATCAAACTATTTTAAGTCAACATTAAATTAATAATACTACTACTTTTATTTTAATTCATTAACTATAACATTTTAAATAATATATATTAATCCCAGTCACCTCACATCTCACTTTATTCCTAGGTTTAATATAAATTAAAAAAAAAAGCAAATAGAAGACAAATCCCACAATCACTTTACTGCTCTCACTGATATCTTCCCCTCTGAATTCAATTCTGACGTTTTAACACTACTACAACAAGGAGAAGTAGTAACTGTTTCTTAATTAACCTGTTTGAAAGACTACTTGCTATTTGTCAATTAAAACAGCTCTTTTTTTGCAGTTGTAAGCAACAGGAAGAGAAAATTGGGTGATCTGAAAAAGCAAAATAAAATGCTGCAATCAAACTGCACAACAAAGCAAGAAGTGAGAATGGGAGGAAGGTGGCAAACCGTTAACTGCTTCAAAATTCTTCTAACATCTGAAAAATTGATATAAAATCCCCTAGGCAGAATTGAACATGCCAAATATTCCAGATATAGAATATGCCTGAACACAAAAGTGTTCAGACATATGCTATACCTATTTTCTACAGTATATCTATTTTCTATAGAAAATAAGTTTCTATGGAAAGTTGAGAGAGTACTGTAGAGTACCCATTAACAAGAGTAAACAGTTTCAAAGCAATGTCCATAAAGCCACGGAAAAATGTGATATGAAATAAAGGAAGAAATCAAAATTTTAAGTCCCTGTTTGCCAAGATAGAGTTGTCTGTTTCATTTCAAATTATCAGTCTCTGAGAAAGCAAACAAAAACTATCTGACACCGCAGTATAGCAGATCATTCCTGCAAATTGTTGGTGGTTCTTTATTGTGCAGAAGACGTTCTACCCAAACAGTCTCTGCAGACAGAATTCCCCACAGAAAAAAATCCAATTCCCCATAGTTATACCTGTCATATGGGGTATAACCATTCTGTTGCAGGAAATCATCTTTAATGAGCTTGGCAACTTCCAGTGTAATTTTATCTGTTTCTGCCAAAGAAGCCTAAGGTGAAAGAGAAGAAAAAGTCATTTAAAAGAGTGATCTGATCCAGATAACTAGTCAATCAAAATGTAAGAATTGGTTGTTATGAATACATCATGAGAATCTTCACAGAAAAACATCTACTTAGCTTTTTACTTATATAGACATCTCTCCCAACTGGCATGAAAAGAAAAGCTGTTATAATATTAACTTTGAAAAATCACTTTTATCAATCATACTAGAGGTAGTCCTTGAATTACAGCAGTTTATTTAGTGACTATTTGGCACTGAAAAATGTTACTTTTTGGCAACTGACTCATATTTATATTTGCAGTATCTTCTGACACTACAGTGTCAATAAGGAAGCCAGATTCACTTAACAACCGTGTTACTAACTTAACAACTGTAGCGATTCACTTAACAACTGTGGCAAGAAAAAATGTAAAACGGGGCAAAACTCACGTAACACATTTCTCACTTAGCAACAGAAATTCTGGGCTCAATTATGGTCGTAAGTCAAGGACTACCTGTATTATTATTCTTGTCTCTAATAATTGTGTCTCCAATCCTTTCTGTTCTTTACTGCTTCTTTTTAATTCTCTTTAATGAGTAATTTGATGATCTGCTTGCTATCCCCTCCTCCAGCATGTTTTGAAATCCAGCAACAAAATGGCCAATATTGGTGGTGCATTTAAAAAAAAAAAATGTATTCAACATTTAAGAAAGAATGGGATCAGTGCTATGATACCAATTCTTAAATGTCCCAAAATAGTTACTCAGATGCTGAATTCAGTCTAATTTTAGCATTGTGGCAGGATTTAAGGATAGATACAGGAATAGGAGATTGATCCTCCCCAAATGTACCAAAATTGATTTGAAAGATGGCAATTTTGAATCATGTATGAGGGTGAGAATAAGAATGCTTTGCTGGTCCTGTCACCTTTGATGGTATCACAAACAGATGGTGTCTTTTGCAGCTCATTGGATGGTTGGGAACATGAACATGCCTATGTTGCAAAAACTTTCACTTCTACTGTATGGAGGTGTTTAATTAGGACTGTATTACTTTAGATTATCTACAGCACCTAACAGCAATACTAACATTGTGCAAATGTTTAAATAGTAAAAATTTCATGTCTCCAATATCTTGAAACTACCACTGACACAACACACAAGACATCATCTTTGCACTGAACACATTTTCTTAAATCTCACCTGCAAGTATCTCATCAGATTTTCAAAAATCGCCAATTGGTATAGCTTTAACATTTGTTTCTACATTCCTTTGGAATTATTTTAGAATAGAACAGAATAGAATTCTTTATTGGTTGGACATACAAGGAATTTGTCTTGGTTCAAATACTCTCAGTATACATAAAAGAAAAGATACATTCATCAAGAATCATAAGGTACAACACCTAGTGATAGTCATAGGGTACAATAAGCAATCAAATCATACTAGGAAACAGTCAATATAAATCGTAAGGATACAAACGACAAAGTTCCAGCCCTACAGTCACAAGTGGGAGGGGATGGGTGATAAGGAGTAATGAGCAGATTAACAGTAATAGTAGTGCAGACTTTGTAATAGTTGAACAGTGTTGAGGGAATTATTTGTTCAGCATTTTATAACTAATTAAATAATAAATGAATCCAAATAGCTTCAGATATAGAAACTGCTCCGTAAGTGCAATGTTCCTTCACTTACCTTCCCCACCAACTGTACAATCTCTGCAAGATCCTCCTCTTCCTGCAGTATCTCTTTTGCTTTAGTCCTCAAGGGAACAAACTCAGGGAAATGCTTATCATAATATTCATCCAAAGCACGTGTATATTTGCTGTAGCTAATGAGCCAATTTACAGATGGAAAATGTTTACGTTGAGCAAGCTTCTTATCCAAGCCCCAAAAGACCTGCCCCAAAAGTAATAAAATGTCAATGAGCATCCTCAATTAACAACTGCATTTGCTTCTGAGAACTTCTTCAAGGAAAAGACCACAAGAAGCAGAGGATTTCACACTTGAACTTAAAAGCATTTTATAGACAAAGTGCAGTTTGACTGAAAACATCCAATGAGTTTCAAAACTGAAAAGGAAAGTGAATACTTTGTTCTGTGCAAACCATTAGCTTGTATCTAATAACTAAGAAGAGTTTTTACATTAATGGCATAGCACAAAAGGTTGCATGACAAGCTCACAAATTAAAACTCAGTTATTACAAGTTGTCTCCTGTGGCTGAGATCCAAGTAAACCAAGAATTCTTCAAATGATTCCATGTTCTTCAAGTGTGATACATCTAATGAAGACTTCATTCTGAATGAACCAGATCTCTCTTTTGGCACATTCCTTACAGGTAAGGATGGGCAAGCCTATCAATTTTATTTTGTTCATTTCTTCCTTTTGCCAACTTTAGCCATATCCAATCATACTTTCTGTTTTTTAAAATAACAACTATTTTGCTAGCATTTTTTCTATGATTTTCACAAATGTATAGTTTTTTACACTTCCCTAACATAAGCATGCCATTTTGGTTGATGATATGCATTACATTTTGAAAAAAAAACATTATCAAAATATCTTAATTCACATATTTGAGTGCAGTTGTTTTTGCACAGGCATGAAGTTGTGTCATCAGATTGAGTGAATTATCACATGTTTAGAACCGTAATTGACCCCTCTTTTCCAAAAAAGAAATAAGCATTTGAGATTAATGTTGAATTGTATCAGATTATGTATAAGTGATATCATAAACTTCTGCCTATAACTAAAGATGAAGAAAACACCTTTCCTCAATGCTATTCTTACCATAAGATCTGATCTGCTAAACCAAAATTTAAAAAATGAGTATTAGTTGTCTCACTATAAACTGGTAAAAAAGATGACCAGAATATTACAGAACCATTGTTAGAAGAAACAGGGCTATGAATAAGAAGTCCCAGGGAAGCTGGGCAGCAAACTAAGTACCTCAGAACCAGAATAGTAGTTAAGGTACATGGTTAATTACTGCATTTGCTACAGGCTGGCCACCCAAACCTATGGGTCTACATATTTATAAACAGATTAAAAATAACAAACAACACTGAGTCTTTCATAGTAACAGACTCACCAACTAGATTCAATAAGCTTTTATTAAAGCTTCCATTCTAGTCAGAAAGCAGAGTTATTGCCTACCTGAACAATACCCAGCGTAGCAGAAGTAACTGGGTCAGAGAAGTCACCACCAGGAGGAGATACACTGAATAGGGATAGGAGAGAAAAAAGACAGAAAGGGGAAATCACAATTAGTAATAATACATCAAATTGAGAAGGACCATCAATTATACAGTATGTTTGCAATTCACTTTTTAGGCTTGGACTTCCTAATTAAATGCATCTTTCCAAGCAGAAATCTGAGCTGCGAGTTTATCGTTGAGAATGTTCCATTGCAACCCCCAATGAAGGCTGAACTTTTAGCTTTGCCCTCTCTAGCGATCTCAGTAAGATCAGCAAAGCAAAACCTTCCTCAATCATAACAGTGGTTGTCAGAAATGATATTCAAAGTATGAGTTTTGCCACTGAAACTATGGTTCCCCCACCCCCATTTTAAATATTTTTATAGAATCCAGGTAAGGACTAAGTTGGAAAGATATTAAGAAAATGAATATTTAATCAAATATAAATGGGCAGAGAATATACTTAAATGAACAATTTGATTTATGACTGTAGTTCTTAAAATGAATCAGAGACATTGCATAATATTCACAGAACAGTGAAAAACTGTATAGTATCAAGAAAATGACAACTGTAACAAATTGCAGACTGATCTCTCTAATGCTGTCTTGAAACAAGAAATGTCTTTTTTATTTATTTTATTTATATAATGCTCCCCATTATCTCTTTCAGTTTCACTTTATGAACAAGCATTTTTAATTTCAGGGAATGTTTCCTATATACAAGATGGTCAGATAAGAGACCATAGTGCAAAATAATATACACTGTGCAGAAAAAGAACATCTTGTCATTAATATACTCACGCTCCAACTATGCTAACGCTTCCTTCTCTCTCTGGATTCCCCAGACACTTCACTCTACCAGCCCGTTCGTAGAAAGAAGCTAGGCGAGCACCAAGGTAGGCTGGATAACCACTATCTACAATCACCCAATAAAATGCAAGTTAGCTTCTCTAATGACAAAAAGAAAAAAACTTTTGAAATCAGTTTTTTCCCAAAAGTTACAAAAAAGAAAATGCATACCAGCAGGCATTTCAGCCAGCCTCCCTGAAATTTCTCGAAGTGCCTCTGCCCATCGGGAAGTTGAGTCAGCCATCATACTGACATGATAGCCCATGTCACGAAAATATTCAGACAGGGTAATCCCTATGATCAATAATAATTACAAGTCATATATTACATAGAAAGACCTTCACCTGTAATGGCTTATGAGAAATCTTCAAGAAGAATTCCAGAATCTAAGATTTGTATCAAAGTGTACAATTGATTGTTAGGCATAAAAAGAATATTCATTTGCTTCTTATAGTTCTTCCTTTTCTTCATTTTAATTAAATGCTGGAAACAAAGTATTTTGTTTTACATACCCCAAACCAGAAAAGGACCAAGTTTATAGGGGACCCTGGGACTGCACATTGGGTGCTGAGGGCAACACATGATCGGCCAGCTGCCCTCATTTGGTATAAAATACTTAAGTGCTTGGGGATGTTTCATGATTTACTTCTTCTCACCATTGTACTGTATCATGAAATTAGCTTTCCTTAGTTTGCATTTTCCTTGAAATGGGCTCCTGCTGTACAATACAAAAACTCTTGAGTTGTTTTTGTAAGAGAGGTCCTCTTTAGTCATTGTTTTCAGATGCCTATTTGTTTAGGTTTGGTTTTGTATGAAAAAATCAGGTAGGTAGGGCTCATACCTTTAAGGGATTTATACACTGTAACAAGCAGTTTAAATCTGACTCTGTATCTATTGGGACCCAAAGTACAATCTTATAATGGTATGTGGGGAAGACTGTGGGAGACAGGGCAAACAGATGCTGCTTAGGGAACAGGCAGAAAAGAGGCAGCATAATGCACAGCTGTGAAATGGGCAGAGCAAGAAGCTCAAAAGGGACGTTCGTTAAACTGTAAAGATGACAGCAGGAGAATTATACTTTCAGACTTGCAAGATTCTTTTGAAGTAGTTTTACAATAAAGTAGAAATTAGTTTTTCTGGTTGTGTTTCTTGCCTGGTTTGCCTAGTAAGGCTGTTAAATCTATAATTAATGCCCTCAGTGTCTTTAGGGCCTCTACAAGAGAGATAATAAAATAGATCTCTATAATGTTCCCTTGCTTGCCCAATCAACCTCACTTGGCACCAAGACCCTACTATTACAGTTCTGTTTTTATTCTATATTAATGGGAGTTCTTGAGTGTAATCTTTAGTGACACAGATCAAAGTTAAGTTTATAGGCAAATTGTTATAAGCACCTTTTGAATTGGAGGAAGCCATCAATAGCGAAAAGACCAAGAAACCAGTATTAAGTCAATTCCATCTTTGTTTTCACATTTCTTACCAGTGTAGATAGAGGCTTCTCTGGCAGCAACAGGCATATTGGAAGTGTTTGCTACTAGAGCAGTTCTCTTCATTATGCTTTCTGTCTTACCATCAACTTCCATAGTCAGCTACAAATCAAAAGAAAAATGGAAACAAAAGGGTATTAGTTTTCTGAAGGAAAAATAAAAGTAGATACTCGAATGATTCACAAATTTTAACTCCCCAACAATATTATTATCCTATTACAATGCAAAAGATATAATATTTTTGCACAGATTTTTTAAAAAAGGTTGATATGCCCTATTTAAGGTCCTGAATCATGGAACTATAACAGGTTCAATTATGATAATAGTGAATCTGCCCTCAAAAACTGAACTCAGCCAAATATCCTTAAACCATTTTGATAACTGCCTAAAAATTCAGTGTAGGATGTATAGAAATCAGAGGGACTACATGAAATGAACCATAGTCCATTTAAGATTCTGCTAAAATGAGTTTGTTAGTGTTTAAGGTGTCATAACACTCTTCGTTTCTTTTCATAAATAAGAATTATCTTTAAATTCATTTCATTTAAATTCATTTCTAATAATTGCTGCTTCTGTTTCTGAATGTATGTAAATTGAGATGACTACTAGACTTTAATAATTAAATATTTTATCAATAATCTCAAGTCAAAATACAAAGCAGAAAAATAAAACAAAATAAAAATACACTAAAACAATTCTGTATTGTTTACCATTTTTTAAACCAGCAATTTTAAAAACTACAGTATGTTACATTTTGAATCAAGTTGGGGACTTTTCGTGGACCTGGGGACTGCACATCTTCTTAACAGTTTTGGATTTATAAAAGTTGTAAAGTATACAATGATGTAACTAGAGAGGATGGGAGTGAATGTGGTTGTATCTAAGAACCATTAAAATTGAGTTGGGGGCTCCACTGAAATAAGCTGGGATTGCATCTAGCCTACAGGTTTCCCAGTAAAATGTTTCTGTAAAAATAGGTTCTTAAGGCAACTCTGCTCATATTGAGTGGATAGCAATAGCTCCATAAAAACAGTAATAGAATGGAATGGAATGGAATGGAAGGGGAGGGAAGAGAAAGAGAAAGAGAAGAGCTTTATTTGGCCAAGTGTGATTAGATATACCAGGGAATTTGTCTTCGGTGCCAGAAGCTCTCAGTTTATTTTCTATTTAAAAGATTTTAAATAGAAATCTTTTTTTATGTAATGTTTTTATTTAAAGTTTCCCAAGTATTATTATTTAATCAACCAACTTCAAACATCAGAAACAAACATGTTTGTAAACCTCATAAAACCAATATGGATATTTCTATTATCTTTTAAAGGGAACTAAAAAGTCAATACATTTTTGGGAAGGCTTCCAAAAATGTTTTTGATTTTTTCCCTGAAAATCAACATAATTACTTAAATTAAATTGCAACATGGGGCCAGAACCTCCCCCCTGAACTCTCATTTGCACAGTATTGCCAGCTCCCAGTACCAACCTCTGGAAAATCTCTGAGCACTTCTGACATTTCATTTCCCCGTTCACCACAGCCTACATAGATAATAACACCACTGTTGGAATACTTAGAAAGAGATTGGGAAATAACTGTCTTTCCACAACCAAACGCCCCAGGAATAGCAGTAGTACCTCCTTGAACACACCTAGATATTAAAAAAAAAACATTCATATTAAATCAGAAGAAAACATCATGCTGTGTAACAGAGAGCTCTGTAAAACAACCAGCAACTCTATAATCTCGTTTGGCTGGTTTCAGCCCATTTCTTTCTCATGTTTTGGTAGGCATTCTAGTTCTTCCCATTCCAGAGAAAACTGTGTAGTGACCAATTGATATTTCATCCCAAAAATTTTATCTCTCCACGATAGAAGATAAATAACCTGAGCCTATAAAAAGTGAGCAAAATTCTATCTTTGTCAACATAACACACTTAACCCTGAAGAACTCACTACTAAATTCCTTTTGTTTGGGTTCAGAAGAAAGTTGGGAGGGAACCCTTACTTCTGGATACTGGAGTTCCAGAAAATTCAAATTTATTACAGCCCTGAGGGTAGATACAGATAAGATATTGAATAAAAGAAATACTACATCTTTATACATACATACATACATACATACATACATACATACATATATACACACACACACACGTGTGTGTGTGTGTGTGTAGGTGTTTAAGAAGTTCTTCTCTTTCCATGGTTGGTAAAATGAAGACCCAGATTTGGTTAGGGACAATATGCTGACATTTGTAAACAGTTCAGAGAGTGTGGTAAAGCACTATGAAGCAATATATAAGCCTAAGTACTATTGCTATTTATACATTTATAAAAGATTTCACATATCAACTGAATACTTAGTGACAGAGTGCATAGAGAAAAAACCCAAAAAATTCTTTGTTCTAGTTTCTATATAGGTCTTGGGGGAAAAAAGAGAAAAGAAATATACTCCATTTCAAACATAGTCACCCTTTTCTCTGAAAGTCAATGTTTTATCTGAAACTAAAATTTACCAAGATGCAGATTTTACAGTGGGAATTTGTTTCATATTTCAATGTTGAAAAAATATGCGTGCTTCTAATTTATTTTTGGCTTGTTCAATATTTTTCCTGCCTCATCACTCAAACTCCCTTTTCACACTGCAACTACAGTGTGAGGCAGCCTGGAAAGGAGAACTGGCTCTGAGAAACAGCTCACTTGGTGAGCTTTCAGGCTGAGAAGGAATCACATTGTGTTATAAAATAATTGTGATTCATAAAAAAGAAACAGCACCAACAGATCACTTTCAACAAAAAAGCAGTCAGAAACAACTGGCACTTACGGAAACAGTGCATCAAGGACTCTCTGACCAGTTAAAAGAGGGTGATTTGCAGGTAACTTTTCTGTGACAGGACGGACTTGACGCACAGGCCAGACCTGGACCATTGAAAATTTCTCTTTCACATCCTCAAACTCCAGCTCCAACACAACATCCTAAATGAAAGCAGCAAAACAAAGATCAATGCAAATGAGAGACGAAAACAAACAAACCTTGTCAATACAAGACTACAGCTAACTTCACTAGTCAAATGAGAACTACGTTAGTAAAGCAGGGAGTCAAGAATTTGTGTAAAGCCGAGGTAGGGGAGCACAGAAACAAAGACGTATATTTCCATAAAGCTATAGCAATAAAGCCATAGCAATTCAGGGCACCATGAAGGCTATCTATAAAGTACAAATAATTTTAAAGCTATTGGCTCATTAATACTGTAAGACTCCACACAGTCATATCATTTCTCATCAGAATTGGTTCAGCCATACACTAATTTCAGTGATATAGATAGATACAGATACACACATGCACACACAAACACACACATGACTGTCAGGGAAATTAGACAGGAAAGTTGTTATCTATACATTTCTCTAATTCTTTTTAACTCAAACTTGTAGCACCCCTACAAGTTAAGAATGCAAATAATGGGAAATGTTTTCCTCCAATTTGGTACCAGTCTAAAGCATCAAAATCCATATATTATTTAGGAAAGGCAACAGACTAGCAAATTTAATTAAAAGAAAAACTTACAGATGCATCATAATTTCCAGGTGGAGCAATGTACGTTATTGTACCTCTGTTTCGTGGAGGCAACATGATTTTGTGCTTTATAAGGGAATTCTCATTCACTAAGCCATAGATATCGCCACCTGTAATGTGGCTACCAACCTGCAATTAAAAAGAAATTCTTAAATTACAAATACATGCTCTATATATGAATGCCTACTATAAGGATGGATGACATATTGAAACTCCACATTTCTTTAGAAAAAGTGGTTGAGGACCTTATATTGACAGTCCGCAAATGCCTTTTCTTTTTCTCTAATAACACAACGTAGAGCATTCCCTTAATACAGACAATGAATTCAACGCCACAATACAGGCAAATCATTCAAGGAAAATATCTTAAAAATGTATCATCGCAAGTGTGGAGATCTAATATAAAGAATATATAATACATATATAAACAGTGAGAACATACACACAATACTGAATGTATCTCTATAATCCATTAGGACAAATCCTTCTTGTTTCGGTGAACCATAGCTTTGACTTACGGTAATGGTAAAGTTACCTTATATATCAAGAAATATCTTAATATTTCAATATAACAAAATAGAAATAAATACAGATATAATGAAATATGTAAGAATAAACAATGTAAGCAGTATCACTATTGGATTGTATGTGAATAGAATTTAAAATGCACAAAATGATAAATGTAATAGCGTATTATGGTATAAATAAGAAAACAAGTTATAATCATGATGTATAACATGTAATCAAAAGAGATTATACTGTATGATAGCTACTATCAGGATGTATATTATGATGTTAAAAAAAGGACTTGATATAACCAGTACAATGATGTTGTAAAATTGGAACTGTGGATGAACAATAATGAAAAATATACAATAAATTTTTTTTTTAAAGAAAAAGAAATATAAGTACAACAGTTGATGGATGCTAGTATACTGGTTCCCATTTTAGTATGGAAAATCCTAGTTCAAATATGTGCCAACATCTACTGAAATATTTCAAAGAATCCAAAATAACTTACCCGCAGGTTTTTTATAGGAGTGAAGTCCCATTTGATATCTCTACTCAAAGCTGTCACATTTACACCTCTGGGAATGTATATACTTTGAGTCCGACTACTAATATCTGTCAAAGGTCTTTGGATACCATCAAAAATGGCTCCCATGATACCAGGGCCAAGTTCCACAGAGAGAGGTTTGCCAGTACGAAGCACAGGATCTCCAACTGAAACACCAGCTAAAAAATTTGTTGAGGAAATTACTCTAGAAAACACTGTCAAATACAACCTGCGTTGTTGTAAATTTTTTTCTGATGATGAGCCAAAATAAATATTGTTAACATTCCAAAGATTAATTGTTAACCATCTAAACAAAACATTTCATATTATAAATCATGTTTGCACTTATAATTTTCTAAATTCTCCAGCTAATGAATTTTAATTTTGGTTAATTGGTATTGTGCATAAGAATATTGTTAAATGCTTATAGTTGTTAAAACAGGCTATATTTTGTCTTTTCATTATTTATGCCCTCTAAACTCATATCTTAAGCTAAACTTGCATGTCAGCTAAAAGGATACAGGTTTCCTCATATACCTGGATAGTAGCCATATCACCCTCCAAACGGATAATCTCTCCTACAAGTTCACTATTGCCAACTCGTACCAGTTCATACATAGCAGCTCCTGCCATGTTGCAAGCAGTGACCACTAAGAAAAACCAAAGAAAAGGATTATATAGCTTGAATTATAATTCTAACAAATAGTAGCTTTATTTTTTCTTTACTATAAATCTTGTCATTTGGCATGAAAAAACTAAGCATTATTTTAATATATAAATATGAGGATCAGAATCACATCTACTGTTTTCCGAACATGAACTCAACTAACAAATATGAGACATCCAAAAAAATAGTAATGTCAGAAAAAAAGATGAAGTCACTCTAAAGTACAGAGACTCTCCTATGTAGCATTCATCTTGCTTTGGGAACAGTCATGGACAAGAAATTTCATCTCTCTGCTCAGCTATTCAGCTACCAGCTCATTTATTTAAAGTTTCTAGAAGCCCTACTGAACTCTTTATAGTGCTCAGTTAAAATGCCCAATAAACAGGTAACACAATGAGGTAGGCCTAAATGGGTTACTACGGGATCCACATCAATCTTCTGAACTGATAAAGTCATTTATCTTGTCATTTATCATAGAAATTGGATAGAATCCTTCAGTGAAAAGAAAAACTTCTGAAACGTGGGTTAGACTGGATCCTGACTGGCTTTCTGTTATAACCAAATCTATAGTGAAGTATTGGAGGATACATGTTTGAGAGAGAGTATCATAAAGGACTTTCATGAAAATACATCAGTATGAGCTTTTAAAAAGTGTATCATTGTACCTTAAAATGCTTGTGAGAACTACCAAGAATTCTTCCATGTTCTTTTTCTTCAATAGTATAATATAAACAAGTGATTGACAAAGATAAGCTACACCAGCCATTCAACAAAAACACAACTACCTGAGATAATTAAAAGAAGCAGGTGAAAGAAAAGGAGGAAAAGAATCTAGTAATGGTAAGAAAAAAATAATGGTTTCTTAATCTGAGAAATGTATGGCTAGAGTAAATTACACTAAACAATATATCACAATTTATGTGACAATTCTTTAATGTTGGTTTCTGAAACATTCTTTGTGTCAAATTTTATATTAGTACATCACCCTATCTTCTCACTTCTAATTATTGCACTATTGATAAAAATAATTTGCTAAGCTATTATCCTATGCACATTTATATGAGTAAACATGCATAGAACTGTATTAGTCTCTTTACAATGATACTCTTTATCTGTAGCAATGTTTTTTTGCCTTCTGTGAATCTTGCATTACCAGATCATCATGCCAGAAGATTTCAAAACTGAACTGCCTATAATTTGTATATTTTCACACAGAACAATGTAAGTTCTCCATTTCATTCCAACAACAGTTCAAAAAGAATTACATCATCATAACATGATTGGAAGAAAGGTTGTGTGATACTGTAGCTCAGAAACAGCAAACGAGTCTCTAACTGAAAGAAGGGAAGGGCCTCTGAGAAAGGTAAGGACTTCAAATGAAATACCAATACCAAGACTAGGAGGTACCCATTAAAGCAAAGGTCTATTAATCTGCAAAAGAATTTTATGCAAGTGTACTTTATGTATGCATAAAATAGGAATCAGGATTTTACACATGCTCTGAAGCATATAAGCAGTCCTCAATTTATGACTGGCCATTTAATGTAAATGTAATTATAAAATGTTGCACCTGCCCACCCCTCAACCCCTGGATCACATTATCACATTTTGGGTGCTTGACAATCTGTTCATATTTAAAATTGTTGCCCAGTGCCTTGTGATCACGTGATTGCTAACTGATTCCAGTCATTTATTGTCTGTCATTTGCAATCTTCTCTGCCAACTTCATCATAAAGTCAGTGGGGAAGTTTGCAAGTAGAAGGTTGGATTTGTGGTCAAGTGCACCAAGCAATTCCCCTTCCCCTCCATGCAGGAAAGGAAAATCTTCCCATGTGCTGGAGGAATGGACCTCAAATCTGGTGAAAGCACTAATAAACACCTTCATTCTAGAAGGCTCAGAACAGCAAAAGGCAAACATTTAGGACAGAACCATGCTCTATTCTGTTCATGTCCACAGAAATAATAATACCAAGCATAAAGATATCTCCATCAAAATGAGAAATTCTCATAATGTTTGCTATGTAAAAGAGAAAAAGATTTCTCAAAGAGAACAAAGCACCACTTACCAGGCCCTGAGACTCCATAGACATAGCCAAACATGTTTTCTCTATCTTCATCACGGATTTTGGGGAGTTTAGAGAAATCCATCTTAAATCTTCAATAATCTGAAAAATGACTGGAGATAATGGGGCATGGGGGGGGGGGAGAGAAAATATTTAATCTTCCAATTAAATCAGATTATCTTAGTCAGTAACTAGCAAAGCAGAATTAATGTCATTAATCATTACCACCATTAGAGTTTCTGAGCATAATTTACTTGTGTTGTAACAAGTAATATTACTTGTAACATTCCTGTACTTGTGTTACTGTAAATTAATGAATTTGCTTTCTCTTCCTATGTTCACTTAATATTCTTCTTAACATGTGTAGAATACAACTATTTGAGTGCATAAGTATTTATATCTGTACCTGCATCCTCTCAGATCTGCAATCTTAGAAATTAAGCATCTGAATATGAAACTATATAAATTGTGAGGCAATGCATCCTAACAAAATAGATGAAAGTACTAGATAACCAATTATAGCATTGCCTATGGGCATATATCTGTTGAAGCCCTCAAAGAATTACTAGCATTTTTTTCTGAACCACAGCAATTCCCCTTCTCAGAAGTGGAGAGAGCAAATGCATATACCCGGTAGTATTACTGCTGACAACCAGGAAAGACTGCATTGCCTGATGCAAACCTTGCAAATGCTGCTGCTGCTTTAACTATCTGAAAAGACTCTGCAAATCATTTCTTTTCCATTGTCTGCAAAGCCCTATAAATAAGTCAGCATCTGACTGTCTTCTGATGGAAAATCAGTGGCAAAAAGTACAAAGTACATTTTGCACTTTGGTTTGGAAACTCCTAAGATGCAACTACTACTACTTGCCTTTAATTGTACTACAGGTAATCCCTGACTTACAAGAGTTCGTTTAGTGACTATTCAAAGTTACAATGGCACTGAAAAATGTGACTTATGACCGTTTCTACAGTTATGACCTTTGCAGCATCCCCATGATGTGATCAAAATCCAGATGCTTGGTAACTGGTTCATATTTGTAATGGTTGCAATGTCCTGAGGTCATGTGATCAGCTTTTGTGACCATCTGGCAAGCAAAGTCAATGGGGAAACCAGATTCACAACAACCATATAACTAACTTATCAACTGCAATGATTCACTTAACATCTGTGGCAAGAAAGGCCATAAAAATGGGGAAAAAATCACTTAACAAATGCCTCACTTAACAACAGAAATTTTGCACTTAATTATGGTCATAAGTCAAGGATTACCTGTACAAGCGGGTGCACCAATTTCAAACCTTCAATTACTGATCAGTAAGTAAGAAGTACTGATCAAGAAGTAAGTAAGGTTCTCTTTTGTGTTGTTTGCAATTATTTGAATTGAATGTCCTTGAAGCAGTATTCTGAATCCCTGAAGAGCTTTGAAAGTAGCCACAATTCTAGAATTCTGATATGAAATGGCTCTGATATCATGCTACTAGCCCCTTATGTAAAAAATGCCACAGGGGACATCCTAATCCAGACTTATATCACATGCCACTCCCACCACAAAGACAACGTTGCAATACATCACAATGTCACATGACACGATCGAATTTGACACCTGTATCCTAGTCCTTTGTGATGCATCAGTAAGTGAAATGCGATTGAAGCCCTAGAAAAAGAATCAAAGAATTAAACATATTTGAAGAAAGAACTACTAATGAAGTACTACACCCGGAAAACAAAAATGAAAGACAGAAATATAGAAAGATTACCCTAAATTTCAGATGGTCCCCCAGAAAAAAAACAAATATTCTTGGATATTCAAATTCCCTGTCAACATATGCTTGCCAAATCTAACCAATTCTACACAGTTTTCTCTTCCCATACAAGTGTACAAGAAGCTACATTCCAAAAAAGAGCAAGGCCAGCACTAAAAACAATTAAGAATTAAACTGATTGTCTACAACAAGGTATTCTATCTATAGAGTAATTTAACACCTTCTGCAATATCCCCACCATTCCATGTGACACACCATCTAATCTCATGCACAATAAACAGTACAGAGACATCTCCTGCCTTCCAGCAGAAACAGCAAAAAGGAAGGAAAAAACAGGATGGACATAAATTAACGGGTAACTGTGTTTGGAAAGGAAGGAAAACATAAAGGAGGAACAAAACTGTGGAAATTAGAAGAGTTGAAAAGATAGCTAAATAAGGAAATAAGAACAAGAGAATGAAGAACCGTTTGGAAATTATTAGCATAATTATATCATCTAGATAAGCCGTCCATTCGAAACATAATTCATTCTACAACCCTATCTTCAAATGTGTCCACATTTTCAGCAGTAATGACTTGTTACATTTAGATTCTCTTTGTGCCCTTATTTATCCCTCTCCCTCTCAATCATAAAGAAGACAGACCTTAGCTCTTAGTTGCCTTTTCATTTCTGTTTCTCCCTGAAGGGGATTGAATAAAATCAGTAACTCAATAAATCAGCCAATTATTACTGCTACGTGTCAAGCCTCTTGAACTTGGGCAGCTGGAAGAACTCATCTGAAAATGTATGGGCATACCAATATAAACCATTCTCCATTTAGGATTTTCCTATCTCAAATTTAAAAATACCGCTTCATTTAGGTATTATTGTGGGATAATACCGAACATCATTTGATGTGATATTTTAAGAGACTGAAGCTTTTATAGTAGTGAAATTATGTTTCTCAATTATAATTCACTTCAGAACCAATCTCTTCCAAAGAATTTTATAGTAAAAATACAAGCTAGATCTTACCTTAAATAATGAACAAAAATATCCACCAAGATTATAAAGTTATAAAAGGAACCTCTTAAGTACCGTGATTAGAAACTGGAAATAATTTGCTTTGCCTGAAACTCTCACAAATATGTTAAAATAGAGTTTACGCACATACAGCTGAGAAATAATCACTTGACTTGATGACTCATCAATTTCTCCACAAGGACTGTTGCAGTTGCAAATAGAAGACCAACTAGCTTGAAAGTTTTTAAAACTTTCAGTACAGTATAGGTAGTCCTCAACTTACAACCTTAATGGAGTATGCCAACCTCCATCTCTGATGAAGCTGTTAAACAGTGTGAGTTGTTAAGCACAGCATGGGGTGCCTCAGCAGTGGAGGAAGTCCCAGGAGGCCTAGCACAGGCACAGATCCATCTTTCTTGACTCTCCCAAGGCCTCTGAAATACCCCTGAAATACCCTGTACTCCATTTGCTTCCCCTCAACTCTTAGGCTTGTTTCCTTACTCAATGGATCCCTGAAGTCCTTGCCCATGCACCAAGTCCTCAAAGGGCTTGGCCCCCCTGCCCACCGCGACACCCGTTACAATATCACAGTCTTAGGGAAGCAGAGTAGATCATTCCATTCCTGGGCTGTATGGTTTAGGGACACTAAGAGATGGAATAGCCTTCCTTCCTTCCTCAATATGAGATTGGGAGCTCCGGAGATCTTCAGAAGAGAAGTACATGATGGATGTAAGGGGATGGGGACCCAGTGGGAGGGAAAAGCAGGTGCAATGCTTGTAGAGACCTAGCAGAGTGGGATGGTAGAAGGAAATAGGTGGAGGATCACTGTTACATCCCTCCGATTAAAGGTGAATGACCACTGGGGCACTGCACCAGCCATAACTTTGAAACAGAGTCGTAAACATCTTTTGGGAAGTCTGTTGTATCTCTCCATGGTCACTAAGCAACCAGTCGTAAGCCTAAGAGTATCTGTACACTATAATAAGATCTACCTATCAAAAGCAGGATAAATCTGTCATAAGCGCAACAAGGATTTAATTTGTACTATACAGGCCCAGCTTTTGTTACCTTGATTAGAGTACAAAGAGGTTTTCAGATCATAACAAGGTTATTTGCTGTATCTTCCTTCTTCAGAGGTCAGAGCTAATAGCTGAGTAAAATATTTTTCTCACTTTGAGAAGACATAGTCTATCTACTTCTTAGCCGTGCTTATTGTATTTAGTTATGTTGGGATGGTCCAATGACATCACTATAAAATGGTAATCCAGCTATGGTAAAATTAGACCCACATTTTCACATAAGAAAATATATTTCAGCTGCACAATAGATATGAACATTGTAGTAAATGATACTGTATCAAGTCAGACCAAATGAGTAGCAATATTCCATGCTTTTGGACATACCTGGAATCAAGTATGATTTTGCATGGATTTTGAAAATTCAAAGTCAGCTGTTACAAACTAGTTCAGTCTACTCTCACAGTTGTTGACATTCTGGTTTTCAATATAATAGAGATAAACTATGAAATTCTGTTCTATAGTTGTTACCTCTGAGAAACAACTATGTGCTGATATTTCACTAATCATGCTGCTCAATTCTTCAGAACAGACGTAGAACTGAACTTTGCAATAGATGTTATATGCTTACATAATGCTTGTATTCAATGGACCAGAATGCCCACCAAGGTTATTAAATGCCATATAGGGTGACATTCAATAAACTTTTCATTTAAATACCGTGTTTCTCCAACGATACAGCCTCCACCAATAGGAAGCCCCACCATGTTTTATTGGCATAAAATCAAATTAAGCCCCTCTCCCCAAATTAAGGCCCATATTAAACATGCGAAATGGGGGGGGAATGGCAGGGGGATGGCGGGCGGGGGGGGGGCTTGCCGTTAGGAAGTACTTTTGTTGCATGCCCGGATATGGTGCTGCCTGCGTTGATGGGGCACTTCGTATCGGGAGAACTTCTGCCACCGTTGCTTTCCCTTCTCCCTTGCTGCCGCGGCGTTAGAGCAACGCCGCGGTGTTTGGCGCAGCCACGTGCGGCCAGCCAGGGCTCCTCCCTGCAACCGGAGCCCTGCGGAGACACTTGGCTTCAGGAGCTCCTGTTGCCGCCTTCCCTTTGCCTTCGAAGGTAAAGCCAATTATTTTAAAAATGACACCCTACTACAACAAAGCCTCTCCTGCCTGAGGGCAGCCCAACCCCAGATGGGGAGGCGAATCTCCCGGGGCTGCAGCGCGGGATCGGCCCATCCCGGGAGAAGCACCCAGCCACCATTCCTGCCTGGCGCCGGGCAGAGCGTGAAGAGCTTCGCCTGGGGCACCCA